ACTCTCTTTCTGGAATAATCACATTTTTGGGGTCACGAAATATGATTTTCATGTTGTATTAAAAATGGCTTGTTATGAAAAAATAAAATCTCCAAATGACTATTTTCATGATATAAACACATTTTGTAGTAAATGTGTCTATATGCTATCAGGGAGGACAACAAAAACTGAGAATATCTGCAAAGTGGAAATGTCTAGGACTTGGACAATAACATAACGATTGATTGATTGCAGATGAACCGCTGACGTGTTGAGGCAATTGAAGGACCTGGCCTTCAGATGAGAGCCGTGTCCATGTGTCCCAGACAAAGGCAAGTCGGCGAGTGGCCTTGAGCAGAATCCTGATCAGGTGCATTAATCACACACACGCACACACACACAGCTTTCACCCCCCTCCCCTCCCAGTTCATGCGACGCACGCGCACTCACAGGAGTGAGAAGAAAGACGCAATGTTGTCAAAACAAGAAACGTCAGCGGGCGTGAGGTCATCACAGCGCACAAAAGACACGAGCGGCATTGGACTGCGTCCTCTCACAAAATGTCACCTGTGGATTCTTTTCACAATAGCGTCATCGAGGAATAGCTGCCGTTGCAAAACGTCCGCGGTGCACTACTCGTAATTTTCTGGGGAGCCAATATGACCTCGTCGAGCTGAGAAATTGAAGTCTTTCTGGGACAAGGTCACTACCCCTCCACCGCAAAATATCGCAAGGTTAATAATGATGTACTATTCTCAATACAAGATCAGATTTGGGTTTTAAGATACAAAGGACGGTTTTTGTCTTTTTGGTGACCAGAAGTCCTTTTATATAGAAAAAAAGTGACCCAAAAAATCACAATCTGTATGTGACATAAAAAGTGCTGTCATGACAAGAATAAAGTCAGCATTTATTTCTTTAAGGTGTTATGTTAAAGATTCTGAGAAACGTTTTAAAGTGCAGTTTTTTGTTAAAGGGTAACACTCCCAAATTAGTAATGGGTCTTTTTTTCATAACAATGAATTTCCCCCCAAAAGACATATGAGCTTGAAGTCAAATTTGGAGAAATTTTCTTTTTAAACTTTTTTTTGGGGGTGGGGGGGAGAATGTAAACAGCCCCCCCCCCTCGCCCCCAAGTTAAAAGTGGCAATCTCAAGGGTCGAAATAAGAAGCTGGTGGTACCTTTTCCCCGGTGAGGGCGTGCAGCCCCTCCCTGACTTTGGCGAAGGAGCCCTCGCCCAGCTTCCTGCCGATCAGGTAGTTGCCCACCCGCTTGGTGTGGTAGAAGTTCTTGAGGACGTCGG